CACGCTAAAGCTCGGCAGCTCCTTAGTCAGCATCTCCTTAAGCTCGGCTTTGCTCAGTTTGTATTTGTCGCCCTCCTTGCCCGAGTATTTGTGGAAGGTGGTGACCATGATGGCCATCGCCTGCTCCAGGGGACACGCCATGGCCACTGCGGCGACTCTGGGGACACGAGGGGACAAATTCGGTGCCATCGCAGCCCCGTCCCCAATTCCACCCCCCTCCCGCTCCCAAAATCCCGAAAAAAAAAAGGAGGAAATCCAAATTTCAATCCCGGGTTTAACCCCTCGGGTGAAATCCCGATTTTAACCCCGCGAATGAAATCCAAATTTCAAGCCCGCGGGTGAAATCCAAATTTCAATCCCGGGTTTAACCCCGCGGGTGAAATCCCGGGTTTAACCCCTCGGGTGAAATCCCGGGTTTAACCCCGCGGGTGAAATCCAAATTTCAACCTCCCGGGTTCAACCGCGCGGGTTAAATCCCCGGTTTAACCCCGCGGGTGAAATCCCGGGTTCAACTTCTCCAGTTAAATCCAAATTTTAACCCCGCGGGTGAAATCCCGGGTTTAAACTCTCGGGTTAAATCCATGGTTCAACCCCTCAGGTAAAATTCCGAGTTTAACCCTTCGGCTGAAATCCCGGGTTCAACCCCGCGGGTGAAATCCCGGGTTTAACCCCGCGAATGAAATGCAGATTTTAACCCCGCAAATGAAATCCAGATTTTACTCCCACGGGTGAAATCCCGGGTTCAACTTCGCGGGTGAAATCCAAATTTTAACCCCGCGGGTTCAATCCAAATTTCAATCCCGGATTCAACCCCGCGGGTGAAATCTCGGGTTTAACCCCCCGGGTGAAATCCAAATTTCAATCCCGGGTTTAACCTCTCGGGTGAAATCCCGATTTTAACCCCGCGAATGAAATCCAAATTTTAACCCCTCGGGTGAAATCCCGGGTTCAACTTCGCGGATGAAATTCCGGGTTTAACCCCGCGGGTGAAATCCCGAGTTCAATTTCTCGGGTTAAATCCCGGGTTTAACCCCTCGGGTGAAATCCAAGTTTCAATCCCGGGTTTAACCCCTCGGGTGAAATCCAAATTTCAACCCCGCGGGTGAAATCCCGAGTTCGACTTCTCGGGTTAAATCCCGAGTTTAACTCCGTGGGTGAAATCCAAATTTTAACCCAGTGTTCAGCCCCTCGGGTGAAATCCCGGGTTTAACCCCGCGGGTGAAAAAATCCGAATTTCCATCCCGGGTTCAACCCCGCGGGTGAAATCCCGGGTTTAACCCCGCGAATGAAATGCAGATTTTAACCCCGCGAATGAAATCCAAATTTTAACCCCACGGGTGAAATCCCGGGTTCAACTTCGCGGATGAAATCCCGGGTTTAACCCCTCAGCTGAAATCCCGGGCTTAACCCCGCGAATGAAAAACAAATTTCAACCTCGCAGGTGAAATCCCGGGTGAAATCCTGGGTTTAACCCCCCGGGTGAAATCCCGGTTTTAACCCCTCGAGTAAAATCCAAATTTCAACCCCTCGGGTGAAATAATCCGCATTTCCAGGGGTGGAAAATCCCCGAGCTGGGGCGGGGCAGCATCTGGAGAACATCTGGAARATAAAACCGGACTCACCGAGAGCTCGGGCGGAGCGGGCGGAAGAGGAGCAGCGCTCTGAGCTCGGTTTTATAACCCGGCCTAAGCCACACCCGGCCGGGGAGGCACAGCCTGCCCGGACACGGCTGGAAAAGGAAAAAAAAAGGAGGAGAAAGGCGAACTTTGGGAGCGGCTCGGGTTTTGAGTCAGCGGAAAAAAAAAAATAAAAAATAAAATGCGCACCGGGGGATGGGCAGGGAGCGCCCGGTGCGAGAAAATCCCCCGGTTTTGGGGTGTCCCGGTGGGGTCTCCGGTTCCGAGAGGGTTAGGCCGGGTTTTTGYGCTGATTTGGTTTTTTTGGGGGTTTTTTTGGGTTTTTTTTTTGTTGTTTTTCAGTCGCCTGGCAGCGGTTTGTGTTTGCCAACGGCGTTGTGTAACGGAGCCGCTCCCGGTGGCACCGGGAACCGGCGATTCCCAACCCCCCCAAAAACCCACCGGGGTGACAGAAAAAACGGGGACAAACCCCCGCTGTCCCAGCGAGCGGGGACCCCTCCCCAAAT